AGGCAGAGCCAACCAACGTCGGCCGGCACTCAACCAGCCACCACACAGCGGACAGCGAGACCAAGCCAGGCACCCGAGCTCCAGCATCAGCAGGCAGCCGCCCAACCCTCGAGGAGCGGCCCACCCCAAGACAGCTCCGACACAGCCACTTCAGCCGCGGCAGACGACAGCGGCAGCGGAACACCTACAACGCACACCGACCCCTGGACAAGCATCAGCTCCCCCAGACTCAGCCAATGCAGCGATGACATAGCCGACGCAGACACCACGCCACAACCCAAGCATGAGCAAGCCCCGCTGGCAGAGGGCCCGCCAAATGGCCCAAGCGGCGCCGACAGGTTCAGCACCCCAAGACCCACTCGAGCCACAACTACCCGCGGCGGCGCACCAACCCACACAGGACGGTAACTCACCACAACAACAGCCCACTACACACCCCACCTACGACGGGAGAGCAACACACGCAGCCGCAGCCGCCGCCTCAGAGGGGGACGCCAAACCACAGCAGCAGCCGCCGCAACAACCACACGAAGCTGCTGGAACGCGGCCCAGCGCAACACCAGCGGAAGCAGCACCCACCGACGAGGGGGACAGACAAGAGCTCGCACCCAGCGGGAGCAACACACACAGCCCAGGCACCAAGCCTACAGGTGAGACGACCGCCCAAGGCGAGGGGGCACCACCACAGCACCACCAACAACACCAGCCAGAAGCAGAGCCAGCACAGCCCGAAGCAGCAGCAGAAGAGGCAGAGCTCGTCGACGAGGGGGAATGGGGGGCCACCCCACACAGCGGAGGCCAGAGCCAAAGCTACAGCAGGAAGCACGAAGGGGGAGGCGAACATAGAATGCGGGGCAAAAGATTCAAAGCAGCAGTGCAGACCATATTCGAAATTAAAGGCATGAGCAAGCCCAGCGGCAAAACATGGAAGCAGGTAGCCTGGTGGGTACAACTCTGAGGAATCAGACGAGACAGAATGGGAGCTCGCCATTCAACAAGCCAGACAACAGGCGAACCACCAAGCAGCAAAGGGGGGCACAACCAACAGAGCAATAGCAGACCCCACCCAGCACGCCAAAGACATGGCGAGGTTCTCGCAACTGCTCAACAAGCACCTGGAGCCGCGCACCACCGGGGGGGCAAGCAGCTCGACCGACCCGCCAGCCGGGGGACACCAACCGCAGCCACAACCACAACCTGAACAACCACCGCACCACACACAACACCAACAGCCGACCGCCAGCACAGCCGCAGCAGGGGGGACGCGACAAGCCGCACCCAAACAGCCACCACAAGACCCAAGAAGAAGACGACAGAGTGGAGGAACCACAGCCGCTGTTGGAGACGCCAAACGGGTCGAAGGGGTGTTTAACCTCTGGCTGCTCAGTTTAGGACGAGGCCGCGTCCCTAGGACAATGCCACCAGAGCTCCCCATCGCGCCAGAGGCCTACTTGCATATGCAAACACTTAGCAATGGGGGGGCCTGGACAGCGGTCATCCTCGACAGACGTGACCGCCGCGGGCCTGCATACTTCAGTGGCCAAGATCGCCCCTATATGCAGTCGCGAGGCAAGAGCGGCGAGAAGGTGGGGCCAGCCACACAGGCCATTTGGCTACCGGCACGGCCTTTCTGCTGCTGCCGTTGGGGTCGCCGGCGGGGGGAGCCCCCGCCCGCTGGATGCTCTACGTGACGGCAGTGGAGAGGAGCCATGACCCAGCGGCGACACACCTACGCGTGGGGGACGCTTACATTCTGACGATGCCAAAGGGAAGAAAACGCTGGGCACACAAGTACGTTGTCCCAGCGGCCGCCCTGCAGTACTACATGAACTGGCAGAGGGAATGGACGGTGGGAAGAAGCCTATCGTACCTACCTACAGGGGGGAACCAGCCTCTACACCGTTGGCAAGAACTGGGGGAGCGCCTCATGCCGCAACGCCAGCCACCACGAGCAGAAGCCGACCCGGAGGAGGACCATGACGATGGCGAGGAGGCACAGCAGGGGGACGAGACCAACCTCATGCAAACACGTCTGGGGGGGGCCTCGAGCAGTTCAGACCTGCCAACTGCCATCCAGGGATGCTTAGCCATCGCCATGGTAAGACGTTGTCTCCGCAGGCTTACATCAGTGCTAATGCACACGCCGGAGATGGAGCTGCAGCAGGCCGTGGAAAACTTGCTCCTACTGCTCGACCCACAAAGCATGGAGGGAGTCGGCAACCCACTATGGGGGGAGGCCAAACGACGCAAGGTCTCCAATGAGTTCATCGAAGTCGAAGAACAGCTCCGCCGGCTGGCCAGACGACTACCGAGCACCCTCTCGGACGACGACCTTGCCGAAGACTTCTCCGTCGCCATCGCTACGCTCACACAGGGGGTCCAGACGCTGCAAAGGGCCACAGCAGACCAATAAGCGGGGCTCCAGATAACGGAGGCCATCGAGGGGACGCACACAGCCCTCAAGGCCATCGCTGCAGCCAGGGACCGCACGCTACAAGGAGACAGAAGCTGGATGACCGAAGGTTGGCTCCTCACGGTCGCCAGCCTACTGCAGGAAGCGGGAGGACTCGCCATGGAACTCCTCTACGTGCCAGAGACAGTCCACCCGAGCGACGTGGTCGAACTCAGCAATGGAGCAGAAGAGGCCTTGGGGGACTTGCCCCCACTAAGGCGAGTCAAACACTGCCTCCGCGAGTTAGGGGGGCTCCTGCCGTTTCTCACCGCCAATGAAGGGGAGCCCGCCAGAAGTCTGCTAGCACACATGCTGTCACATGCTGCAATGGGTGCAGCAGCAAGAGCGAAGCGCTCTTCTCGTGGACAGTCAGGGGAACCTCGAGACTCAGGAGACCGAGCCCATGGAGAGCCTCTTCGGGGAAGCCCCGCAGCGTGCGGGGACGCCACACACCGCGGAGAACAACGACCTCGAGCTGGCGGCACAGACGCTTCACCAGGGGGACACGCTCCACAACGAGGGGAATGACGACCTCGACATGGCGGGGCAGTTGCCCAACCAGGGGGGCTCACCCTACCAGGGTGAAGAGCAGCCGGAGAACGAGCAGAGCGAGGCGACCGAGCATGCTCAAGCCATGTCGCATGCACCGGAAGCCACACAGCCAGACTCGAACGTGGACACCCAAGAGCAAGTGGCCACACTCCCGGCGTACTGGAACCTACGAGGGGCAATGAGCGAGGTAGATGTTACCTCCTCGGCGGAGCGAAACGCAACGACCGATGGAGAACCAACGCACAGTAGTGGACCTACAGCTAGCGAAATAGCAGAGTCTCACCTTTTACAGGAGCAGGTAGAGGCGGAACTGGCCGACATCGGCCGGAGTTCCAGACGGCGACTGTTGAGCCCCCTAGGAAGCCGTAGGCGTGTACCAGCTAGCTACCGCACTGATGACTCCGACTAATCAACAACAGGGGGTCACAGCCGACAACAGGGGGGGCACCGACAACTAACACTCTTGTAAACTAGGTTTTGCAAGGGTTCTGCGACATGGTAGCCAATACTGATGCTTGCCATACACGGTGCCGCCAGAGCCTCAGCTGTACAGTTTTGGGAAGTGCCCGCAGTCGGCCACACACAGTCGCGAGTTGTAGGGCGAAGCGGTAGGCACAGTTGTTGTCGCAATGTCATGCAATAATGGAGAAGTGGCTGCTCGCCAATACGGCGAATGACGTGCGGAGCCAAGCTCGAGACAGAGTTTCGATTTCCGGCATGAGGGGGGCCCCCCCCTTAGCCTACGAGGCGGGTTTGGGGTCATAGGTTAGCGGTTATGGGGGGCAAGCCGGTGAATCAGAACGAAAACAGTCTCGGTCTTTCTCTCCATCCTGTAATCCCTCCAGTGCGCGGAAACGCGCGAGGGGGGCACGGACCCAATCGTGCTTCCCTCCGACTGTGCTGAAGAAGAAGACAGAGAGAGAGAGCCTTGGACTGTTTCGAGCCGTGGGGGGGTTGGCCTTCGGGCCGGGGTGCGCGCACCCACACCCCTTCGCAAGCAAGCAAGCAAGAGAGACAGAGAGAGAAGCAAGAGCTACGTGTGCCGAATCTGGGCGAGACGCGGGGCCGTCGGGAAAGATAAGGAGCCAGCACCTCCCGTCTATGATTTATGGTCGAATTACGAGGTGTTGCAGAGATTAAAAGCTTGAAGGCTCCAGACTCGGGAGTTCGGATTGCGACTGCCCAGGAACTATGAACTGGCAGCACTTCTGTCCAACAGCCTCCAAGTCAAGGCCTTCCGAAAGTGGGCGGTCGAGACGGCTCTGAAGCGACGCCGCGTGTGTGGGCTTGCTTATCGGATTGCTGAGTTGTTGGAACCTGTCAGAGTTCTGGTATATCTCGGAGTGAACTGTGTGTGAGTAAGTCTTTCAGGGCCAATAAGCCAGCAGTTGTCTGTCCAGGCAGAAGACGTGGAGTTCGTGGCAGGTGGCAGGAAATGCAGTAGAGATTCATGGCTTCCTCGTACTCCTGCTACCTTGAGCTGGTGCAGGAAGGACAAAGCAAGTGGAGACCGAACAGCGCGTATTCGCGGCATTGCCAAGCAAGTGCTGTTCTTACTTGGACAGTGCTAGACTGTTCAGGCAAGGAGGAGCTGCCACTGGACCACTGTGTTGCTGTTAAGGATCTGATGGACCGCTTGCTGTCCTGATGCGTCGGACACGTGCAAAACTAGCATTTTGCTTGCGTGCACTTGCCAGTGGCAGATAGCAATTTTCCCGTGCTGCGCCGGCATGAGGGGGTCTGCGCAAAGCTCTCAGTCAAAGATGAGCCGTACCCAGAGCAGATGTAGAAGGTGCCGACTCTGAATTGACTCCCACAAAAGCCATACCTGACAAGAGCATATCAGCATACTAACTTCGGAAGCTACGGTCGACCTTGCGTGTGCCCACGTCCACCACTTTGTGTTTGCAAGGATTGCAGGTGTAGGCTGGCCGATGGTACTGGTTTCAATTGTTTCAATATCATGGGTTGCTAATGTTTGCTTTGCCATTACGCCATGCGAGCTCGTTCATTTTGGATATGGTGGACATCTGGCAGACGAAGCCTGAACTTCGCACTTTGCTTCACGCTGTCAGTCGCTACCACTGTTAGCTCGCAACCCTTTCAGAACCACGGGCTTGCTGTGCTGGATCTTGGTGTCCGGCTGCCAAATGGCAGCATGCATACTTTGATCTCAGCAGCCAACTGTACAACAAAGGCTCCTTTACTCAGACGAGCGGTGGTGCTGGAGGTGGGCTGCGATGACCTGGATGAGCTCCACCTCCCACTCTTCACAAGGATAGGTGCCCGCATCTTTGTCCTGCACAAGATCCGTCTCCCATGTCCACAGACCCCGACCAGACTCGAGCAGGGCATCGAGTTTGGGAACGATGGTTTATGGTTCAGTGTAGCACCGGCAGCGCAGGCAGGCGGAAGCGATGGAAGTGGTGTATGCGCTTTGGCCGACACTCTTCCACTCCGTGAGCATGTAATGAGCCAGGGTGAGCTCCTTGCGGTGTCAGTGAGCCTGAGTGATGCCGTTACGCATGCAACTGACACTGCCGATTCACAGGTGCAGCTGATCTCAACTTTGCTGCAGACGCTCAGGGCGCTGCCATCCCGGTGGCATGGCGACAGCACCTCGATGACCGACCTGGCAGCATGTCGTAAGCATCAGAAAGTGCTCGAAGACTATGTTGCAGAAGCAAAGCTTGCCAGCGAACAGTGGCGGTCGACTGCAGGGAGAAGAGAAAAAGACTTCGAGCTGCTAAGCCAAAGAACGAAAGAGCTGCAGCGAAAGTTAAAGACACTCAAGGGCAAGATGAGTGTCCGACGAGATCAAGGTGAAGACCGGCAGGCCCTAGAGACCATGTTGCAGATGAAATCGGCAGAGCTGGAACACCGAAGGCGTGAAGCACTGTGGTGGTCTATTGCGAGTGCTGTAGTAGCAGGATCTTCGGCTTTGGCCTTCTTCACCTGGAAGCACTACGGCAGCGCAGGCGATGACCTCAGCCTTGATGCCAAGAAGGAGAGACGGAAACTTCTGCGACTCTTGGGTCGTGTAAAGGCCAAGTCCGAGACGCCAACTGAAAAGGCGGAAACTGCACCCGCCGCAGCAGAAATGTCGGAAGCGACCGAAGCCTTGACCTCGAGTCCTTCACATCCGGCCGATCAATGTTTCCCACATTCGGTTGAGCTTGAGCACAGGCGCAACAGAGATGTCCAGTGTGTGCGGATTCAGTGCCCAGGAGTTCAAGAAGCAGATGTCACGATCAAAGTTGTGTTCAATGGTGCTGAAGTGCACATCGATCGGCAAGAATGTGCAGGCTTGCCAGCCGTGAGTTGGAAGCACCGTTTCATATTCCCTTCCGAAGAGGGCCACGTTGTCTTCGCCGATGACGAAACCAAGTTGAGCCACGGCTTGCTGGAGCTAACGTTCTTCTGCCAGGAGTTTGTTACGCGAACATTCCGCTTCCCGGAGCACTTCGACCTTGCCTACGATGACTGAATCCTCAAGTCTCGGATCGGGCCTTGCAAGAGCGCGAAAGCGAAAAGCCATGAAAAGCCGCTCTGCCGTAAAGTCGCAAAGGGTGCTCCAAGGCAAGAGAAGAACCGACCCTCTGGATCCTTTTGGCCTCTGACGATGCGCCAGGTCTCTTGTCCTGGGTAACGGGGCCCAGCCTAGTTCCTGCTTGAGCCCGTGCCGTTTCGGCACGCTCTCTGCAGTTGGCCCAGGTCTCAGCAAACTTTATTGTGTTTCGCCGTGCCATGGCTGCAAGCTGTCAATCAGCGCGCTACACAGACGACGTTTCGCTGCCCAGGTCTTGGTGGAGATTTGAACCAAGCGAAGAGGCCCCAATCTCATACTTGTAGAACGTCACGAGCGACCCATGATGCCGTGCGCATCGTGAACATGGGCATGTCCCACTTGCAATTGCCTCCGTCATTGTAGCGTTTGCGAGTGAGAAGTCTTCGGCAGTAGCTGTCCCCATCTGAAACATCCCCCCAGTCATGTAGCCTACCGAAGTCATCCCACCGCAGTGCCCCGATCAAAACCAGAATCAAATGGATTGCTCCAACACAGGCACAAACAGGCAGCACGCCTTGAGACTATTTTGCTTGGTGATTGGGTAGCCCATGTCTTCTTGAAGCATCTTTGCCAAAGTTGAAGATATCGACCAGCGCATGCTTCACACTGATGTACCGTCTGGCGCATGTGCATCGAAAACATCCCGTCACTTACGCCTCGAAACAGGCAGCCCTGCGACGTTTTACAAGATTGATTCACGTCACGAACACAAACAAGGTTTTTCTTTTAGCAGAGTAGACATCACGGCAGAGAGCCTTTCAAGCGAGATTCTGGTGCTGACTGCGGACTAAGCATCCCTTGTGGCGGTTTGCCAGCTGATGCTTGTGAATTTCCAAGCCTGCCTGGAATCCTAACAAAAGCCGAGTTTGTGTGGCTTTCTTTCGCCTCGCCAGCGTTGGTCTTGATGTTGGAGGCGAGTTTGCCAGTCCAGTGCAACCGAGCATAGAAATCTTTGTTTGTTTAAGAATCCTCGCACCTGGTGGAAGAGAGAGTGTCACAGTCGTTACAAACACACATGCTGAACTGCCCAACTCGGACGTCGGTGAAGCTCATTGGAAGGCGGGCTGGGCCCAAGAACAGTTGGAGTTCATACGCAGGCTGCGCCTGTGTCAGCTGGGTAGGTGGGAAAAATGTCCCGTAACTTCACCTCGCCTGTTGCAATCAAAGTATTATTTACCCGCGGCCACGCGCCCACGGCCGGCGGCGGCGGCTCGCGTTCACGTGGCTGTACACGGCGGCCCGTGGCGACGCTCCGTGGTCCGCGGAAGCCGAGCATGGCCGTGACCCGCGGTCAACAGCGACAAGTTTAATTTAATTGGGGTTTCGTTTAAGCCCATTCCTTCTAGTGTTTGGGTTTTTCGCAGCCTCCCACTCCTTTTCGGCCCCAAGGTTTCGCACTCACCCACTCCTTTTGATGGTATGAGGGTTTCGTAGCCACTCACTCCGTTTCGGCGCTCACAAAGGGTGCAGGGTTTCGCACTCACCCACTCCTTTTAGAGTCTGACTGTTTCGTAGCCACTCAGCCGTTTCCGCCTTTTGGGGTTCAAGGTTTCGCACCCCCCCACTCCTTTTTGGGGTTTGGGGTTCCGCGGCCCGTGGCCCGTGGCCACACCGGCGGCCGCTGCAAATAAAACCTGTACCCAATGGCCCCAGAAATGGATCAATCTCGGAACTGTGCTGTACATACGAGCAACAGTTTGCATCCATATTCCTTCATACTTACGCTTAGCACTTCCACTTCCCTTCAACCCGTCCGGGTAAGATCGAAGTAGTTCTAATCGCGCAGCCGAAAAATGTATTCAGGCAATGCTGTCAAGACTTCGCGACCGTTCGGTCTCTTTTGCCGTCCATGTCTGCTGAGCGAAAATAGCAAATACCTCGACGGCCATTGTCGATGTTGAAAGCCTTCTGATCGCCTTCAGAAAACCCGCAGTTAATGTTGACTTTCTGTGCTGCCACACCAGGAAAGCATGTATCACAGTTGCGTCCGTCTTGTCCGAAAAAGCCACGACACACCTGCTCTTATCCAAGTGTGCTCCGGCTCTTTATATTCGCAGTTCTGTGCCACAAGCTCAGTTGCTGAGCCTTACCTCACGTGGCTCACACGAGGGAGCGCGTGTTTCAACATGTTTGTCGCAGGCAGTCAGGGTTCGTTCCGGGTTCGGTGGTAACTGCTCTGTTTGCTTTTGCCAAGGTATGTCCGTCCGCATCCTTGACAGGTCTACGATGAGTGCCAATGTTGCCTCGTCCGTACCTGTTGTGCAAGGAGCGCAAACATGTTGATGGATGCTGGATGATTCGAAGCGAACGTGCGAGTCCAGGAGTCGATGTCAGACGATGTCGACGACTCAACACGGCTCAGCTCAAGGCCAGGAAGGGGTTTGTGTTCTCGCGGAACGTTGGAAAGACTCCAGCAAGTCTTGCAAGCTGTGTACCTTGCAAGCTTTTGGCCTGGCCTTGTTGGTGAGAAGAAGTACTCTAGACGGCGAGCCTGGGCAAACCCGACTTAGTGTCACATTCGAGGCAAGCTCGAACTAGAGACTTGATCCGTGAAAGGAGGGAAAGGAGTGCATAGAGGGCTCGAAAGAGACTGCTGCGATGAAGATCCCAAAGCCCAGTGAAGCATTTAGTGGCAAAGGAATTTTGATACACTTTCCGAGCCCGCGCACAGCACGTCCTACCGGTCCTACCGTAACCGCACTCGCTGAAGCGGTCTAAGCTGAAGCTGCTTAGCCGTGATGGATAACTCCTGTCGTTGACTGCTGTGTACTAACAACTTGTACGCCCGTATGTCGGGGGGGCCCGGGCCTGCAACTCCGAGCCGCCTGAACCATCTTTTCAAGACGACTCCTGGGCATGGGTATATCAACGTTTTCAGGAAGCTGAGAACAAAACCTAAAGGGGACGTTGATATACGTTGATAGTGATCTGTACGCTGCCAAAATAGGCAGTCCGTGCCGACGTCTCCCGCGTGTTCCGGCCACCGGTACCATAGGGTACCGCTTGTCCGGCTTGTCCGGCTGAATCGAACTCTTCGTTAATACACGACCGTTTCCGATGTTTACGGCGGACGGAGCTACATTCGACCGACAGTAACTTTTGCTCGCACCGCGAAGGCAAGCACCATAGACAACATGGTACCCCTGGACGAGATGCTTCGTTTGCTTGGTGGGTTTTCTCTCTTCTGGAACTTCTGAATTAGTGCACGTTGTGTCATTCACAAAGCCTCCAATTAAAGGGGGAGGGCATGACGACGGGAGATCTCGCACATTCCCCATGCCCTGACGAACGAGAGAGAGGGAGAGAGAGAGAGAGAGGGCACCGGCCAGAAAGTAGGGTTGAAAGTTGGGCACCCTTCCTCGGTCGCCTGTCTGTAGGGCCTATGAGCCCTTTGACCCAGTCCCCTTACCTCTGTCGACCTGTTCTTAAACGGTACGACCCCAAGTCAAGTCGAGACCAACCTGGCCTGGTTGAAAACTAAACGGCCTAAAGGAAAACCGTTGGTTTAGAGGTGCTTAGCTTCTGCTTAGCTTGCCTTGTCTTCTCGCGCGAGTCTGTTGTACCTTTGCAAGCTTGAGTCCCAACAGTGAGGCTTCAGTTCGGTGTGCAGGCAGGGTTCAGGCAGGTAAGCTCGGTTTCAAGTAGGGCACCAGCTCAAGAGAGGGGCAACCCATGGTGTTGTGTTGAAGTTTTCTTGTGATACTTAGTTTCTCTGTTTGTTTCGACAAAGGGGCACCCACTCAACTCCTAAACAACACTTTCGTACAGCCCAGCCCATCACACTACAGCGGTGGATGGGGCCGCTCGGATGAGCGGGGGCCCCTTCTCCTGAGATACGAGGCTGGCATCCCTACGACATGCATCTACATGTCGCTATTGTGGAACCCAGGTCACCTTAAGACAGCAAATCGCTCACTTTTCTTAAGCACGCCACACGAAGGAAAGTGAAAGGTGCTGAAGTGCTGCGCATGGCACAGCGCACACCTGCTCAGGAAAGCACAGATCCTGTCATTTATTGGATGTCGCGGGATCAACGCTCCCGCCTGAGCACACAGAGATGGCGATCCGTTTGCGCGTGAACTTACGGCCAGGTTCAGTTGACAACTGGGCATTGATTTATGCCCAAAAGCTGCGAGCTTAGACGTGTACACGTCATAGAAACATCGTAGGAAGCAGAAGCTTGAGGCTGGCAATTCGGCAGCCGCTGCCTTTCTGGCGGATACTAACTTCGCTTTAGCTTTGTTGGGCTGTTGGCAGTCTGTCTCATGCTCAAGGGCCCAAGCAACCGACCAGGTCTGCCCCGCTGCACGCCAGCCTGGCTCCGCACTTCTCGATGCATGCAGCTGTGCTGCATAAGGTGACGGTGGCAGTCTCGATGCCAGGTTGTATTCAGCCTCGTGCCCAAATTCTTGGATGCAACTCTGCGACAGATGCAATCTCAGCTTTCCTTTAAAGAGTCGGAATTTGCAGATGACTACATGCAACATCTTGAGCAGATTGTTTGCCGAAAAATACAGAAGTTAGGTACGACTTCCTCCTGAAGGGTCTCAGGGAGGCCTTTCTCCGCGGAGGCTGCGCAAGGGAAGAGAAGCAATGGCCAGGTTGCAGTCGACCTTGAGTCCAAGAACATGCCTACACCTCTGCCTGCCGTTTCGCAATGACTGCTCCACACCATGGAAGTGGAAGAGTGGAAGCTGCAGTTTGGCTGAGTCCTTTCCACCTGCAGTTGGGCAAGGCCGGCACATTCTTTGTGCGGCCAGAACCTACTCAAAGATGCAATGTAGATGGTCATGGCATGTCATGGCCAACAGTCGATGCCACAGGCCGGGGACAAAGTTCCGGCCTTGGTGAATGAGCCTCGTGCCAAGATTCTAAGATATCTAAGATCGATGGCTCTATGTCCAGCTTCGTCAGGATTAGCGCACAAATGGTGGTGTGTGACATGTCTCCACTTCGAGCGGCGCCCTTGCAGGCAACGACTCAGCGCATTGAGTCGATCGTGTGGTCACTGAGGTTCCCAGCCAATGGGCACGGGATGTAGCCGACGCTTGCCATGCCAAAGAGGCGCGTTATGCATGAGCAAACAGATCTTTTGAGGTCTGAAGGCTTGCTGGTTTGCTGGGTCAGAACTGCTGCCAAGACCCATCTCAGAGTTTAGCAGAACCGAGGGAGGCAAGCCATGGCTGGCCAAATTGCGAAGGGTAGGGAGCCCCCGCCGCGATCACCACTGGCAGGCCCCTGTTGCAGAAAAGGAGGGCTGCAGCTGTTCAGAATTTTTGTCAGCACGGATTGCATCCTCAGGTGATGCTGTGGCAATCAGCTTCAGGGTGCGTGGGTTAGCTTTCGAGACCATCTCACGAAGCAAGCCCACTATGAAGGCCTGCAAACAAACGCAAGTGCTAGTCACACAAGTCTGCTGGCCAGAGACATGTTTGGACTCAGGCACTCAAGAAAGCCTTCCGCGGAGCGTTGGCTGCAGCGAGCGGCCATGGTATCGGGATGGAGCACGTGTCTTGGCTACCACTTATTCTGCAGAGTTTGCTGGTGGTAGCATTGCAGACAAGGTGGCGGTAAGCTTGGGCGAAGAACCCCTGGTTGTGGATGCCAACATTTGGCCTCCTCCGAGTGTTTCCTGCGAAGCCGTGGAGGTGACTCTGCTAGAGCTGACAGGCCTCAGGCGCGTTTTCCCCAAAACGTTTAAGCGCCAGGAGAAGCTGAGGAGCTGCCTGAGCTCTTTGCCCGACAGCATCCAGTCCTGGATCTCTCAAATTCCCAACTTGCCTGACCTGGCCGGAAGCGCCGTCAAGGCGAGTCTTCCCAAGCTCCGGACCTTCTGATATCTCCTTCGGGTCCAGGGAACTCTTTGGGCTTTGCGGGAGGTGTCCAAGAGCTCTCTGACCATGAGCATTATCCGATCCGATGACGATGAGGATGGGATGCTCGAATTTTGGCATAGAACCTCCAGACAGAGTAAGTTGGCATGTGCAGCTTAGAGGACTTCAGGAAGAGGACTTCAGGAAACGTACTTTTGTCCCAGCTGTATAAGTCCTGAGCGCATCGATTGGAGAGTTGGATGAGCAGCTGCGGATAGCTCAAGCCAGTCTACGAGCGCGTTCGCGAGCGAAAGGGCTCGAACGGCAGGAACTTTGGGGATATCACGATATGAACTGAAATCTATCTCCTAGAAACTTGCAGTGCCGCCTTCCAGACCGAGTGTCGTTGAGATGTGGCACCGAAGCTTTCGGAAGCCTCGGGAGGTGGATCAGGCGATGTCGTATCTTTTTCAGAATTCTGTTCTTCTGCGCGATCCTCTGTGCCCGCGAGGTTCGCGAGGATGCAGAACACTTCCAGGAACAAGGCGGGCTCACAGCGGGTGCCGTTTGTGTTAATGCGACCCAGTTCCACTCCAAACTGCAGGCGGACGCGACAGAGTCGCCAGAGCCCGAGTTGCCCGAGTTGCAACTTTCCGTTTGGCGCTCTGCGCTCTACTTCACGGGCGAGTCTGAGGACAAAGACGAGGACTTCGGCTTTCAGAGCTTTCAGCTGCAGGAGCTGAGAGACTTCCTTCTGCAGGCCGAGCCGCCGAGCCATGCAGGGTTTTTGTTCCTCTGCCGAAGGGTCGGTTAATGTGTGCTGCTTGTCTCCAGGAGAAGCAGAAAGTGATGAACAACTGCAAGATCCTGCAGGACGTTTTGGGCACGCTGGGCCTTCCACCACCAGGCATGCAGAGAGAAATTTTCTCAGGATTGCCTGGCGGAAGCTGAAGGCGACGCCGCGGCTTTGAGCCTCTATGAGTTGGAGTGGATGGGTGCAGCAAGGAAGTTTCTCAGGAGAGCCTGCCGGACCCAAGGAGAGCCGAGCTGGAGTCAGCAAAAGGTTGTCTGGCCTGCAGCAGTTTAACTGTTCTGCTGCCTGGTGGACCGCAGTAGCTAAGGCTCGTTTAGAGCTCCTGGGGCAGAGCAAAATTGGGCTCAGTGCTGCCGCCAGCATTCATTTTCTACAGTAATGTTGGCTTCTGTGCTTCGTGTCGGGATCCAGCTGGAGCGAGGGTACTGCTGGTCGACTGAGTTTGCTGGCGATGATTGTTTGGCGCCAATGGAGACCACAAGTCGACTGGCTTGCCAGACTGAGAACAGTTGTAGCTGGTGCTGCACTTCAGTCGATCAAGTTTGATGTCGAAGCCAAAGAAATTGCACCTCGTCCGCACCGTCAGTGAAACCGTGGGTCCGGTCACGGTGCGCGCTTTGGGATTCCACAGGCTGCCAGCTCGTATCGCACGGCCCAGCAGATGTGGAGATGGGGTCGACTGGCAGTTCTCCTGAATCAACGAAATGTACTCGCCGCTTAGACTTACAGAGCCATGTGGCTCCCATGGGCCATGGGCCTGTCGCAGTCGCACCAATGCACTCCTGACGTAAGCTTAACCACTGTACTTAGGAGGTGTACAAGGCTGCGCTCCTTGCTTGTGCCGGATTTCGCCGAGCTTTAACTGGATGGACGCGGCCATCTCCTGAGGACATCTTAGAACGGCGCAAGCATCGCACGGACGTGGGCATCTTGCACTCAGGTTGGTGGCCGTGATAAGCAAGGATCAGGCTGAACGAGAGAAATGGGTTGTGCAAGCTTGGGCCCGACTTGTGGCAATGCTGCCTGGTGGCATGTCGGGCTGCCTGTGAAGGCGTCGCTGAAACAGAATTAGTGGCTAGTGAGTCAAGGCATGCTTGAGATTCAGCCCTTAGGCTGGAGCTGGTTGACGTCAGGACATCATGAATCAGTGCGCCACAGCTCCACTACCCCTGTCGTCCCGGATTGTATTGCGCGGCGCAGGAACACAAGATCCAGTCAGAAAGGGGAGGCGATCCTGCAAAACTGGCCACGAATGGCTCAGCTAGCAATGAGGGCGCGCAAGAGTCAAAGCAGAAGTGGTGCACGCTCGCTCGCCACCAAGAAGCTCCAGGCACCGCCCAGAGTCGAATTCCCGTGTCAGTGACAGGGATTCTGAATGACTCCCACTTGATTTGACGGTACTGGTCTAAGGTCAGGGCCCGATGGGTGCGCTTTGCTCATCGGCTCAATGCTTTGCCTTTGCAAGAGCAGGCATGCATGCCCCGAAGTTTCTTTCCGGCGGGGTCTGACTGCTGATTTGAGATTTAGCTTGTCACGTGTTGGCAAAATGAACTTAATTGTGCATCTTGTGAGGTGTCTGCAATCCATCTAACATATCAGTTTAATGCAAATCTAGCCATTGGCTTTATTGAAGATTCAGGATTCGAAGCGGGGGGAACTACAATCACGCACTGCACCACTTGGATTGCTGCACCTCTGCTGGGGCACCTAGGTAGACATCTCGCGCCGCTGCATTCAAGCAACATGCTCATGTCAGTTGGCCACCCCCCCATGAATCCCACACACAAAGGCATGAGACAGGGAAGGGTAGTTCGGAGGGCCCAAGTCGGAACCCATCACCGCATGTCGCAACACTCGGGCACAAAGCTCATATAAGGCCGTTACGGAAAGGGATCAGCGCCGAAACGCCATGGCCAGGTTGCAAAACTTTTCATATTACAAGCACAATGGGGAGAACCTACGACTCTTTGTGGTATAATGCGGCACATGAAATAAATCCGAATATTTGATCCGCATTGTAAGCCCTTGGTGCGATCTAGCGTGCCGGTGCACATGTCCTGGTGGAAGCTGGAACCGCGGCCACCGTAGAAGATACACTCCGAGGAAGGATTTGCGTCGCCGGCATCAAAGCATTCACAGGGTGGACCGTTTTGAGCTGTTGCGGCAGCTAGGTGGTCTTTCGGGTTTGTCAGCGCGGGCAGGAGGCTGACTAGCGCTGGCAGTGTTTTATTGAAAGTTGTGTTGCCATCTTATTGCATGCAACAAGGCCCGGTGCCACCACAGGCGGGGATGACAGCTGGACATGTGGGGTACCATGGCCTTAGGTCGCGCGGGTCAGCGAGCACCCCCGACGACACGGCTCCCGAAGACTTCATTGTGGCGTGCCTGGGTTCTATGAGGGTGTCCACAAATCGCAAGAAAGTGTGGGAGTGGCGCAAGATCCGAAGCTTTAGCCTGGGTGCTTGCAGGTGTCCATGGCCTTCTCACGTGGGTATTGTGCTGGACTATTTGCGCGTGCGTGTTGAGGAACCTTGTGATCGCACTGTGCCAGAAGCGGTTGCTTTCATTGAGAAAGTTGGACGATGAGACGACAATATTAGCCAAATAGACGACGAACTGACGACAGGTGGGGAAAATGAGCACTAGCGCCGGCAAAATATTGTCGAATCAATACAGTACTACCGAAGAGCATCGCAAATATTGTCGAGCGCCTCCTCTTGAACAACATGTTTCGGCGACCGACAAAATACTCAGCCACTTTGGCGGTGACTGACGGCAGGAAGACGAACATATTGTCATTCTTCTCGTTACAGTAAAAGAGTCCGCTCGTGGTCGAGTGATCTTGGCGGTTCGCCGCGCACCCGGCTCTTGGTCAATAGGGCATCCCGACATGGAGGTCATCCGGGAGACCCATCGAGCTCGCCACGTACATATCGAGCGTAAGCCGCCTCTAGGTACAGGAATGAGAATCAACAGTACCTACCCAGAGCGACCTTTCTGGAAACATACTGACACGCTCAACCTTCGCCACCACACACTGAGCTACTCGTTGTTCACCTTTTCACTGCGGGCGCATGCGCATACACAAATCAAGTGCATATGAACATACTGGAAACATATCCTCGTAAGGAAAATAAAGGGCTCTACATCGATCCACAGCTTGAGAGCCTTGCTTCATCCTCATTGCTGCGTAGGAGGTGAGTTGATCCGACGACGACATCCTTTTACTGCTGATGACAGTCGAGATCACAATATTGGTCAGGACAGATTGGCAAGCAGAGATGTGGAAGCAGAAATTAGTCAGCTCTTTGATGGTACCAACATCACATGATCATGAACACAGGGAGCCACAATTTACGGGAGTCAGGGCGAGTGGCTGCGATGGACGGAGAGGAGAAACATCGATATTTCGGTTATCCATAGAACACATTGTGCCG